GGGTGGATATGGCTCACTCACACCGAGGACCTATCCAGGTCATCATTTACCCAGAATGCTTTGTGTGTAAATAAAATGACTCCATCCATGCTAAAATATATTTTTAAAAATTTACAAAACTAAACAGACAAGACAGACACTGTCCGAAAAAGTCCCCCTTCAGCAAACTCGAAGTGGCCCACGGGCCACCAGTTGATAATCACAGTTGTATCATGTATCATGCTATTAGTGAGCTGAGGAGCAGAAATAGCCCTTTTGATTGTAAAGTTTGCAGACCCCTGCCATAAACCATGAATCAAATTYTATTCTTTCCTTACTTAGAATGTTCTCCTTGTCTTGTTCTCCCGGCCTCATTGTGAACTCTGCCCCRTGTCGACAGGACGGCAGCCAGACCTCAGACGTGGACAGCGGCGTGTCGAACCCTCTCAGCCAGCCTCCGGCTGAGTCCGGCGTCCCCCTGCCCTCCATCAACCTCCTCTTCAAGGACGGGCAGCTGAAGGAATGGAGCGGGCGGGCCCCACCCCCTCTGCACATCTCRTCACTGCAGAAAGACCAGCCCTCATAAACCAGCCGCTGGCTTCGCTTACATCCATGGGAGGAAATGACGACTTTTCAGTAAAAAAAGGGGCCACCTTTTTTTTTCTTTTTTTTTCTTGGCAACATCACTATGGATGGTCTTTAAAACGGTCCTGYGTCTTCATATGGAAATCCCCTCACTTATAAGCTCCACTTCTCGTCCGCCGGTATCCAGGTGAGGGGAAGATGAAGCCCCTCAGCTGTTTATTGTTTAATCTTCTGTAAGAGGAACCATCTAACATTAGTGCCCCGCCCCCTTTCGCTGTTTCCCTCTGTGATTTCTTGTGCTCCCAGCAGGGCAGTGTTATCTGTGAGAGTGGTGCTATTTTCACAACATAGAACAAAGATGGAGGTAAACCCATCCTCCAATCAGTGGAGGGGTTTCTTTTCCTGAAAATAAAGTCATATTGTAGTTGTTGTAAAAAGAAAAAAAAAGGACTTTTTCAGAAGTGACATTATGCACATTCTAGGACCAAGACTTTTGGACTTGCCAGGTTGAGTTCTGATCCAAACCCCACTGCCTCCCTGTATCGTTCAGTCATCTAATGCATGATGCTGTTGCACAACTCAGAAAGATTATTTTCTTTTCTCTTTACTTGTAACCAATAATAGGAGGGGATGTGTTATTTGCACTGTGCAGGATTTCTCCAAACCTGTAGATAAATAAATCTCATGTCACTTTTTAAAAAAAAAAGTTGGATCATTTGTAGTGTACACGTTTTTAGAGCTCATGTTTAGAAGGAAATGTTTGCTTAACACAAGCGTTAAAAAACTATTGGGCATTTGAAAAACTGTTTTTTTTTTTCATTTCCAGTAGAGCACCAAAGATGATTCTACTTTCTCAAACTGCCTTTTATTTTGATGCCTTTGTTGTAGTCAGCCAATCAAAAAGACTCAGGCCTATAGGATCAAATCTGCTTCATTTTGCAACTTTTTTTTCATGATTCCTTCATGCTCGATTGAGTGCATATTGCTAATACAAGGTTCAAGACGAGGTCACAGAAAGTACCAACCGTCCTTGTTCGAGCTAGTTTTAGAGCCACACTGCACAGAGTAGGAACAGTTAAATCTGCTTGTTTTGATTGAAGYTGCTGCCACTGTTTCCTCATTGGATGGACTCCAGTTTGTGCGCAGCGCTCTGCTCTCTTGGCCAGCCCTTCACACTCTCCAAGGGATTCTGTTGACTCTGTCTTTTGAAGTGGGGGGAGAACATGGTTTGTGGTGTAAAGACAGGAGTCAACTTTTTACCCAGGGGATGGTTATGCAAATGTTTCTCCTGGTTTCTCAGAGATGTTTAYGGCCCAAAGTGTTTTGTGAGTTTCCCCTGCTCTATTGCATTTAAAGTGAGAAAACCCCATTAGTTCTTTCTGAAGGAGTCCACCCTCTGCCCTTCTTSACCCACTTGTGGAAATTGTCTAAAAATGTGATGCTGAAATAAATTATGAAAAAAAAAAATACAAAAAACAGGAATAATACAAGGTCCTGCTGAAGCATGAGGACTGTGTAGGATCTGTTGTGTGCACGTGTTGTGTATGCGTGCGTATTGTACACCTCATGGGTGCGTTTTAAAACAAGCCTAATTTTAACAAGACCCTTACCCCCCACACCCCTTCGAGTCATGCCTGTTATCTAGTAGCTCATTTTCCCCCCAGATTTTCATCTTCCACTGTGTTTAAAATGATAGTTTTATATGTCAGCATAAATTTTAGAAAATCTTTGTTGTAGCTTGTTTAATGGGACTGTGAAAATGAAGAAAACACCCCTTGAAATTAAAAGGGTTGAAGAAGAAAAAAAAACATTCCTTCACTTTGCCCTGCCTACATGCTAATCTAGTTACATATGATCACAAAGAAATATGTAAAAAGTATATGAAAGTATAAATAAATATGTAATGAGAGCAAACTGGATGGAAACGTCTGAGCTTTTTTTTAACGCTGTGATTTTGTTTTATTTTTTAATTACTTGACTTTTGTTTCATCTGTTAAGCCAGGAGTGTCAAACTGAATGCCACGTGAGCATTATGGTGGGCCTCAAAAGTTGTAATTAACTTTAATGTTTTATGTTTAGCTTCAACTAAACGTGAAAGGTCACRTTCCTTGTCTCATTGCTACAACTGAGCTCTACATGGTATTTCCTGCATAGAAACAGCACATGTCTTTTTATAAACACTGAAAAATACTACRTGTACAACTGACTAAATGCAAAAATAAATAATATAGAAATACTATTAACAGTAAAAGAGTTTTACTCTGATGAGTTGTGGTGAGTTGCTGCCATCTTGAATTCGGGACTCTCCCTCTTTTCAACAGAGAATTTCCATTGGAGGGGTGTTCCAGTAAACATACAAATTGTAAGTGGGAAATTCCCACTTTCCAGTACAACTGGGCTGCAGCAAAATTTTGCCGGCTGCTGGTTTTTGAATCCTGCTCTGCTTGGTGTTGAGATGCTGTCATTTTGCAAATTATATTTGACGTAGTTTATAATCAATGCTGACTTTAAAACAGCATACACTTATTTTAAGAAGTTAATACATCTTTGAAGGTCTCGCGGGCCACAAAATGCCATGGCAGGCCACATTTGGCCCGCAGGCCTCGAGTTTGACATGTGAGTTATACTGTTGAGATGAAGTCATACGTTAAAAGGTCCTGGAAGCAAAATAAATGTTAACATAAAATTCTTTAATTTAAAAACAATTGATGTTGCTGTTACATTTATCAGGTTGTTGGATTATATTTGTATCATTGATGTTTTTGCCCCTCCTTCAAAAAACATTTTTAAATAGATTGTTCTCATCTGAGGTAAACACTGTCTAAAATGCTGTTTCTTGTTGGATTTGACCATTTTTACCTACAGTATGGTATTTTTGGGTGTCATAGCTCAGATTTGTAGAAAGGCCAATATCTGTTGTAGAATCACTATTTAAACAACTTCAGTTGGGAAAAATAGTTTTATCCTGAGCTAATGACTAGTCAGTGCAGGGCCAAAACCAGAGTGGATTACTGCTGTCTATAATCCCAATTTGAAATAAAAAAAACAGTTCATAATAGTACTTAAATAATCTGATATAATTTTTTGGGGGTTTGAGGTTGTGGCAGCAATCACTTTTAGTGGAAACATTTTCTTCAAACTGAGGTCATTTAAAGAACTATCCATGACAGGTAAGATATTAATTGTTCAAAATGTTTCCACAGAACCACACAAGAATGTATTTTTTTTTACTAAACAGGCAGAGATTTGATTCATTGTACCATGACAGTTACTGTGTTAACATGTTGAAGTGGACTTTAAGTTCAAAGTAAAGGTACTTTAATTTATTTAGACATCTATAGACCAAATAACAGGAACCCCGGATATTACTGGTTTATTTATGCAAACTTTGTTAATAATATAAGCAAACCTAAAAATTATGATTCATTTATTGTTTTATTTTTTTGYTGCTGTTGTTGTTGCAGTAATTATGGTGAAAATATTTCATTAACAATTTATTTGCATTTAAATTGATGTCTGGAAATCATCTGAGGACCCTCACTCGATGTTTCATGATGTATGGAGGGGCCCTGAGCCCAACTTGAGGAACCACTTGGTCTAGACTCATTAGATTAGGCTGAATTATTTGAGGATTTAAATGCAGAGTTGTAAAGTAACTAAGTACAAATACTTTGTTATTGTACTTAAGTAGAAATTTTGGTTATCTGTACTTTACTTGAGTAATTAATTTTTAGCCTACTTTTTACTTCTACTCCTTACATTTTCACACAATTATCTGAACTTTTTACTTCTTACATTTTTAAACAAGGTAAGAAGTAGAAAGTCGTTACTCCGACGTTATTTCGGCTCATTATTGTTAAAAAAATACTATCCTGATAAACTGTGTCTCCTGGAAAGAGTAAATTTAATAGTTGGATGAGAAGTATAAATATTTACCATTCTGACACCAAATTGTACACAATCCATCACAGCTGCACGCCGTTAGAAAAAAACATTTTTTTGGAGAGGTCACCTCCCAATAAATGTCATTTTGGAAAACCTAACCGCTCATTTTTACTCAATACTTTTACTTTTAATACTTAAGTACATTTTATGTCAGAAATTTACTTTTGATACTTAAGTACAAAAAAATCAGATACTTTAAGACTTTTACTCAAGTAATATTCTTGGAGGTGACTTTAACTTTTACCAAAGTGATTTCAAAATAAGATACTTGTACTTTTACTCAAGTATCACTTCGAGGTACTTTATACAACACTGTTTAAATGGTTTCAAACTAATAGAAGTTTCCATGATAAAGGATTTTAAATCAACATAAWTAATTTTTCACTACTAATTTTAAGGCAGCCCTTAATGTTGAAACAGTTTTGCATTTTTTACAGTGTATCTCTGTGAGGTTTTGCTGCCTCTTGCATGTAGCCGGTCACATTACATTATTGTAGGCCGTTAGATCATGTTTTCCAAGCCTGGTGGAACAGATGGTGTGCAAGACGCAGCGGTCCGGATGCTGCGTCCATCTGCCTCAAGTATACACTTGTTCATCCCATCCATGTAAATATAAACAGACACGGAGCTGAAAAACACAATGTGTGGTGCAGGGTTATGAAACTGCAGAAAAACAACACGTCTGGTGTGGGTTTTATGGTTGGCTGTGCCCCCACTGGACAGGTGGAGCCCTGTCTAATTGGCCGTGTCTCTCAGGCCTCGCCGCTCCCAGCTTTATAAATTACAGTGATACCAGGAGAGGCACCTGGGGGCGTAAACTGGGTCACGCCACCTGAGGATAGGAAGCTCCGAGAAGCCAGCGGTCAGAACGGAACTTGCCTGTCGCCGCTCTGAGAAGGGTCTTTTGTTTTCCACGACGCTTTCAGAATGCACTGATGTAAACCGACATGCTCTGAAAACACACATCTGCTGAATTTATTCTGCAGAATTTTATTTATTTATTTTTTGAGTCTCATCTTCAGGCTGGTGATGCTGCAGGGCTTCGTGGAGAAACAGAGGGGAAAAGAAAAACACACGGAGCAGACTCGGTGCATGTTTAAACTTGAGCCAGAGCTGATCTAAATACGGAGAATGGTGAAATAATATCTGCATCTTGCGTTGTACACATTGCTGCTTCATCATTCTTACATCATTTCAAGTGAAACTAGAAGTAGATCATCTTTCTTCCTATCGTGATGTGTCAGTATCATTGCAMTTATTTTTGTCTTAGATGCTAAGAAAACTGGTTGATTCTGGACCATTAATGGGCAATCCACTCTGGACCTTATATATGATCTGAAACACAAGTGGTCAAGAAATAGAAAAAAGACATTTATACTGGCTTAATCAGAGTTTGGGTCTGAAACGAATCCATGATCTTCAGCTGGAGACAAGATTTGGAGATCGTGGAAGAGGACATCTTAAGAAGTAGCAAAATATTGTTGATTGACAGCAAACAAACACAAAATCAACATGAAAGCTCTTGCCTTCCTATGCAGTTCGGTTCAGTTTCCCTTCACTGCTCCGTCTGGGATTTCTCCCACAGACAAGGATTTGTCCAGTAGAATTTCAACTGGGCCAWTCAGCAAACAGAAGGAGGAGTTGTGAACSATGATGTCCATTTTCTGCACCATTTTAGTCTGCTTATAATGGCAACTGAGGAAGCGAATGAATCCAGTTGACAAGGCTTCCAAATTAAATTTGTCCCACAAAGCCTGCAGCACYCGTTTACAGCCACCTCATTCAGCTCAGTCCTTCTCTCTTCCCAGTAGGGCAGTGGTTCCCAACCCTGGTCCTCAAGAACCCACTATCCTTCATGTTTTACTTGTTTTCAGCAGGTCTTTAGATTCTTCAGCAGATTGTTAATCACTCATTCATTCAAAACAGGTGTGTCAAAGCAGGGAAACATCTAAAACATGCAGGACAGGAGTCCYGGAGGACCAGGGTTGGGAATCACTTGTTGACAAACACCTCAAGAGTTTATTTGAGCTTGATGAGACATTTTCAGAATATAATATTGACTTAGTTGTACGTTTTTTTAGTGTTGCTTCTGAAAGCCATTGATTCTTTGCCATTTATTTGTAAATAATAAATCAGATAACGTAGTGGTCCCCAACCCTGGTCCTCCAGGACTCCTTTCCTGCATGTTTTAAATGTTTCCCTGCTTTGACGCACTTGTTTTAAATGAATGAGTGATTAACAATCTTCTGAAGACCTGCTGAATAGGGGGTCCTTGAGGACCAGGGTTGGGAACCACTGCAGCAGGGGATGGCTGTTTACAGCACACACAATTTCTGGTTAGCTTCTTAGCTTAGCTTCCTTCACGGTCCAGCTGGCGCACTGCAAATGTCAAAGCCAAATGTTAACGATTGGGTCAGTCAGATCCACGCTTCCAGCAAGCAACTGTTTCTCAATAGGTGAGGTTCGAGACCCTCTGTACGAAGCAAAGCGCAGAACAAGGGACTGGTTTACATAAAAACATCAATTTAGAAGAAGAAAAATACCATGAAGGTGTGATCAGTGATAACCTTTCAGTTGTTCAGTGCCTCATTTGTGCTAAGATCTTTCAAAGCTACAAGAAAGGACTTGTCATTCAACTGGGGTGGCCAATCAGATTTCAAGAGCCACCCCCGGCCATGTCTCTGGTTACAYTAATTATATTGCAACCTTGTTTAAAAAGATTAAAAAGATATATGAAAGACATAACTAGTTAATTTAAATTGGCAATGAGATTAAAAAAATTGCACAGGGGCACCACCTCAACTCTTGCCTAGGATGCCAAATTGTCTAGGGCCGGCCCTGCTTAGAAGTAATTATATTGTGAAGTTAATCCAAATTTAGATACCTTTTTAAAATCTCAAATCATTGAACATCTCCAAAACAACATCTGTTRATTGTATTTGTATAATTTTCCCCAAAAACAAAACTGGAAATGAGCCACGTGAATAAGCAAAGTGAAAATATTTGATGTKGATCACAGTGAAATAACACAATAAGATCCTGTGCAGCTTTAAAGGAGCTCAGCTGATCGTCTTAAGAGGCATCACACAAACCACCGAGGCTGTTATTAATCCTTTCAACCTTTATGTCTCTTTTCTTCCCCTAGCTGAACATTTGTTTCCTTTTCATGCCACGTGCCGAACAAGTGTAACACTATTTCTAGGACATTTGTCGCTGCTTGTTGAGTTTTTGCCACACTGAAGCAAAATGCACACTCATTCTCCTCCTGTGTGGAAAACAAGGGTCCACAACTGAGAAGAACAGGCAGGCTATGAACCACTACAAACATAATGGAGACATTATGGTCTCACTGGGAGACAGAGTGAGAAATGACCCTGCAGCTTCAGCTGATACAGAGAGACATGTGGAGTCAACAAACAGGAAGCATATCTGCACAGTTTACACCTTTACATTGATGTGTTTTTGGTTTTACCGAGTTTTGGGAATTTTAGTGAATTGTTATTAAAGGGGAGTTAATTAAAATAGCATGCATTAAAGAGAATAACACAACAAACTAAAAAACTTTATAAAAAAAACGATAAAGGTTAATTAAAATAACTTATCTGCTTTTAAAATACTCCCACCTGGGGTTTTCAGGGGTAGAGGCKTTGAAGGCGGTGGCAGAAAAATTACGCGCACTTCCGCTTTAAAGCTGCGTCCTGCTGCTGAGAGACTCTCTGCTGAGCCTCGGATCAGATCCGCCTTCAGCCCGGGACCAGGCAGCTAGATCTAGTTTGCCACTCTGTGAGCCTACTGTCAGGAGTTGGATAAAAAAAAAAAAAGGCTCTGTGAGACATTTACGCACGGAAACAGCAGCTGAGGCTCCACCTGAGCTCCGAGACCACTTTGTATTCTCCTCCCAGCCTCCACTTGTTGATGGGAGCACCGGGAGGTTTCCTGAAAGCAGCCACTCAGACGGAGCCGTTCTTTATGCGTAATTTGGATGAAACCCTGTCCGACGGGCAGGGCGCAGGGAGGGTGTTTGGTGACAGATGGTGACCGGTAACGGCGTCGGATTACACAGGCGGGCTGCTGCCAGGTAAGCAGCGGAATGGGGAACCAGATGGACAGGCTGTCACATTTAAGTTACGCGGAAGTTCCCACGGTGGACCCGAACGGCCTGGACACGGACGACGGTCCGAGGATCGGCGTCTCCTACATCTTTTCCAGCGACGACGACGAGCTGGAGGACGGCTGCGCGGCGGACGGGAGGGACAAAGAGYCGAACGAGGAAGAGAAACACTACGATCCGCGCGACGAGGTGGAGTGCGCCGTCTACAACCGCGAGGAGTGCGTGTACGAGAAGAGCGCCAAGTGCGCAAACCTGGAGGTCTACTCTCCGGAGAACCTGCTGAACAAGTGCAAAGCGGGAGACTTGGTGGAGTTCGTGGCTTCGGGTCAGTACCCGCACTGGGCTGTGTACGTGGGGGACTTCCAGGTGGTGCACCTGCACAGAGCCGAGGTGAAGAACAGCTTCCTGACTGATGCCAGTCAGGGGAGGAGGTGTCGGGTCGTCAACGACCTGTACAGGTTCAAAGCCCTCGGTCCGGACATGGTGGTGCAGAACGCCATGGAGCAGGTGGGACTCAAGGACCGAGAGCTGAGCTGGAGGAACTCGGAGAGCTTCGCAGCCTGGTGCCGGTTCGGCAAGAGGGAGTTCAAGATGGGAGGGGAGATACGGATCGGCAAGCAGCCGTACAGGCTGAAGATCTCCCTGTCGGACAAGCACGCGCACCTGCTGGAGTTCCAGAGCCTGGAGGACGTGATCATGGAGAAGAGGAGGAACGACCATCTGGGGAGGACAGCAGTGATGCAGGAGCTGAGCTCACATTTCACGCGCGCGGAGGAGAGGAAGACTGAGCCTGGATCCTCTGAAGGATCTCTGCAGCTTGAGTAGCCTTTACTGAACAACACCTGTTACACTGTCCTCCTTAAAGGGATAGTTCAGATCTTCTAAAGTGGGGTGCTGTGGAAAATTTATCAACAGTAAATATCTTATCTGCTGTAGATAACTCTTTGAACTCTTAAATTTGGGAGTTTGAAGGTCCTGGTAAAGTCATAAAGACCAAACAAAAATCATCACRACATTTGTCTCATTCTGATGTGACCTTAAATTAAACATTTATAAGCAAAATATGAAAAAAGAGAACTGAAAAAAGACATCTGACATATTTGTTTACATATAAGCCTCAGTGGTGTGACTCAAGCTTTCATGTGGTTTTAGGTAGATTCCTTTATACTTTGTTTACATTCAGTGTGGACCCGCATTTCAGAATTGCATCTATAAAGCTAAGTGTCACCGTTTCATACAGTTATGAACATTTTTATATTTGATTTCATTCTTGACAATCAGTAGCTTTAGGTTTTTTTTTTATAAAAATCATGTGACCAAAATGGATCGCTGCCGAAATTTCAAAAGATTTCATGTAAGTTTGTGCATTTTGTTTCTAAATGTTAAAACTTCCACTTAATTTCACACCATTATTTTGRCAGATGCATTTTAAAGTTTATTGGGAAGGCAAGCTGCTGCTATTTGCTCTTGCAGATAACAACASAGTTCTGTGTAAATAACTGTAAGTATTAAGCAGCTGGATCAGGTGCCTCACAGCTGAAGGAGCTTTAGTGTTGAAATAGCTGCTATAAATATGAGAGATGAATTTTTCATACATTTCTCAACAAAACCCTCAATGTAGAAGATCTGAGCTGTCCCTTTATTCTGTAGCAATCATTTATTTTGGCTGTAGTYGGAACATCTGATTTTTTGATTCATGTTTTTACAAGGTCATCRTTTTATTGCCTTAAAGTCACAATCCTTCACATTCCAATTAAACCATCTGAGATTAAGTCAATTGATTGGCTCAGCTGTTTATTTATGGTAATTATAGTTTTATAAAAGCTTTACAAATCCATCAAATTGTACGCTCCTGGGAGTCCTCTTTTTATAGCGAGTCTCTTTACATCAACCAGGTGAGATTTARTTTCAGCTCACTCAGACAGCAACATGTCATCCCAGATTTTTTCTGCCTTTCTGGGTAATTCTCAGCTCATATGAAGAAAAAAAATCTGCCTCTGTTAAACTGATCTAAAAGTCTTTGTTCCCACGTTAAAATAAACCAAATGGTTTTTTCTTTTCTCAAAAGGGTCTCCCTGTTTCTGCTGGTRGATTTCACTACTGAGAGGAGAAAAGCTGGAAGAAACACTGGGGCTTCTTTTATGCAACATTTTCAAGAATTTTATTTACTGTGATCCRCTGAAACAACTGAGCCATTTAACACATTTGGTATAACTTGGCAAAAGGCAAGGGCTTTGTAGAAAGATTTATATATAAAATTGACATTCCTATTCTGTTTTGTTTTTAGTTAGTGTGGAGAAAAAAACTATCAATAATTAGCAGCTAATTTATTTGACTGTTTGTCTGAAGAAACAACTTTCATTTCATACACAGCACATCTAATAAAGGTTTCTAAAAGACTCATTAGTTTTAATCAGTTAATAAATATTTTAATGTTTTACCTACCTACCTACCTACCTACCTACCTACCTACCTACCTACCTACCTACCTACCTACCTACCTACCTATCTACCTTGATTGTTTGATTGATTAATTGGTTTATTGTTTGATTGACTGATACATGATGAAGTGGACAATTCTACATCAAATCTGGACTCATATTCAGGTTTATTATTCTGTAGGAAAGTAAAAATTCTGTAACTGTTAATATTTTTAAAGCATTGYAGATGTTTCATGTGTGAAATGGGGAGAAAAAAGAGAGGGCCCAACAGTGCCCAGGCTAACTACTATTACCAATGCAAATCAATAACCGTGCTYACTAATATTAATTCTTGTAAAGTACTTTGCAACTGCTTTAATGAGAACCACGACATCTGAAGTGAGTATTTACAGCCATGTTGGATTTTGAGGTTGAGGTTTTAGATAAGTGTCCAATTTTATAAAACTGCATCTGGAGTTCTAGTGAATTTGTTGCTGTTTTAAACACATTATAAATGGGATTTCATCCTGCTGATTGTTGCGGTTGATGTCCCGTCGCTGGCTTTTCAACAAGTGTCTCATGTTTACACACCAGCTTCATCACATTTTAACCATCCTCCAAGGAGACTCAGTGAGTTTTTTTTGATGCAGCAGAAAGCAGTTTTCCACCTGCTGCTGACTTTAGTTTAGATTGGGTTTCCTGCTCTGCTCCAGAGAGCAGAACCAGACAAGATGTCTGACACCATCTACAGTTCAGGACGGAGCCGGAGTCCATTTCTGGGACAACAGACATGAGACAGTGAGGAAAGTTTTAAAATGATGTAACAGCTAAAACAGAATTTAGTTTTCTACAGAGGTTATKAGGATTTGTCAAAATTAATGAATCATCACTTGAACTTCAACTTCTTTTATAAAAATTAAAATATATATATTGTAATGGGTTAGCTCTGCTTTACTTTCATTCAGGAGTTTGGATTGACTTTTATCACAGTGTCACCATGGTAATCCAAGCTGCAGGAATAGTAATGTTCTCCACTCCAATTCAGAAATACACAACGCCTCATTAATCAGCTCCGTACAAAAAAGAAAATAAAAATGGTGCCGCAGTTTGTAAAGATTTCAGCAGCTGGAGAGGGAGCACAACAAGTGCATTAAGATTATTAATGAACAGAAAGCGCCTGAAGCAATCTTCTTCAGAGGGATCTGAAACTGCTACATCACGTCCCACTGAACGTGTTCAGATGTGAACAAAATCATCCAACTGAGTGCAAAGGGTGTTAAAGTGAGGGATTTGTTGTTTCCATCACAGACGCAGGACGTTTTGGGGACAAAAAGTTCAGAGAATCATAAAAATRCAACATTTGCTTCTCAAATGTGAAACTAGGAACTGAGACAAAGATGCACTCAAAAAGCAAACGTGTTGGATTTACTYAAACAAAGTAAATGGACTGAACACTTTAAGGCTGGTTTATACTTTGTCATACGTCTTGTTCCCCCTGCTGAGTGACAAAACATTGCGTAACTTCCGTCTGCTCTCCCCCGCCGTGTACGTTGCCCCCAGTCAGAACTCTGCGACRCAGACCTTGCGGCTCGGAGCGTGTGATTGGTTAGAACTTTGTGGGTGTGTTTGAGGAGCAAYGCAGCACTGAGTAACTGGACCAGAGCAGAACTTTAAGCAGATCTTTTTTTTTTTTGCAAATTATTTTGTTTAAAATGATTTTTTTTGTCTGGAGCTTGTTGGTAAAAGAGCTAGAAGAGCTGCTGGTTTGACCCTGATGAACGTGTTCATGCAGCTGATGTTCACACCTCTTCTTTTTTCCATCACTACCGTTGATAAAAAAAGGGTTTTCCTCTTTGGAATTTTTACCTAACACAACACTGATTGTTGAGTAAAAAAACAAAAACAAAAACAATATCCAGCTATCATTATTTTTGTTTTGTMTATGAGCTGTRGGAGGGCAGAGGGAGGAGTTATGATGATTTATGGCCTGCCATGTCTTCAGACCCATTTATTTTCTATTATTTGTATCATTCATATCTGCCTGTTAGCAAATTATCTTGTGAACCACATGATTGGATTTTAGTGAAACCTTCATATTGACCATATTTGTACACTGCAACTCAGTTGTTGTTGACTAATTATTTATCACAAACATAATGTCTGTATATTGAATAGAAAAGAGAGAAAAAAAMCTCCATAAAAACTGTTTATGAAAGGGCAAGTTGAAGCAACTAGCTCAAGTCCTGTCCCTTTTTTAAAACTTAACTCTCCCATCCAAACTGAGAATGAACATTTATAGTTTTAAATATCTGGCCAAAGTCAAGATGGCTGCCAGCTAACACAATTACCAAATATTAGCGGAGAGCCATCCTCAATACATCATATCATCATGAGATTGCGTAAAACATTCTGTGCACGACAACTCTCTGCGTCCCTTCTGAGTATAAGATATGCATCATTCAATAAATGTTAGGTTGTTAATTTCTATTAAAAACACATCCCACTGTGCTACACTGATGGCTGTGATTAGCTCTCATGCTTATAGCTGTACCCGAGTCACCACCAGTCTTCTAACAATAATCCCCGTGAGGTCTTTGGATTGGAAACAATTACTAATAATTATCATCTTGTTTTGCACATATTAATTTATGCTCTCATTCCCGGAGAGGAACTGATACGTGACTCCAAAGCAGTTATCGATTTTCAGCTCATGTGGGCTGAAATGAAATGGAGGACGCGACGCTGAAAACAGCAAACAAAGGTTTTCCATTCGCCCACAAGGATTAAAAGTTCCGCTGCCACAGGCTGATGAGGTGAGAGCGGATGGCTGCCACAGAAACCTATTTGTTTTCTCTGATTTGTGCACAGTAAAGCTTTAAAGTGGTGGCATGCTCAAGAAAAAAGTTTTATACAAATCACTTTTATTTAGCTTGTCAAATCTAGTTGAGGCCATTTCCTATCATCTCAGGGAGGAAACAGACTAAAACTTTGCTGYATTTAGTATAAATCAACCCCAGAGGAACACATGTGTGCTCTTTAACCACTTTGTGCAGCTTTTTTTCATGSTTCCTGCAGCACTTTAATCAAGTTAGTGCATTAAATCCTCCTTACAGGCTGTTGTCAAGCTCAGCTTTTTCTCAGACACTTTTATATTGTACCGAGAGTCATTTAATGAGACAGAAGTGCATCTTTGCAGATATTCCCTCTGTCGCTGTAAAGAAGGTGACGTCTGCGTTGATGGAAAACAGGCTGCGTTTGTTTTTACAGAACTGAGAGTTTCAGGTTCTGCTTCATTCAGCACTCACCCTGATGATGATAAATAAATCCAATAAATCAGTTATTCTTTGGGATTTAAATGTCCGCTTGTGAAAACAGCACTAATTTGGAACRGGTAACAGAAGCATCACAAAACAAAATTCTCAATTAAATGTTAGATTAATTAAAATAAAATAATCTCAGGATCTGAATTCCTCCCTTTTTTTAAAGATGAAGGTAATATGAAGCTGGCAGACAATATTTTATAAAAAAGTAAATACATGTCAAAAGGAAGAGAAAGCTGAGAACCAAAGCATACAGTATTTAATAATGGCTGTAATGACTCTCAATTTCCTGTGATGGAGTTTAATGTGCAGAATCATTCAAAGATGAAAATATTCCCATAAAATACAGAACAAAACATTAAAGCAGTGCTAAGTCTATTATTAGGAAAATAATGAGCTTGAAAAAAATAATATAATAATGATGATAATAATAATTCTCTCTTTCAGTTCTGTTTGCCTCTGAATGTCAGGCACACAAAAAATCATGAAAAAATCCTAGAAATATTGTTATTTTGACTCAAAATAAACGTGAATATTGCTCTGTTCATATTCAGAAGCAGTTCTTTTATTAGGCTTTAAAATAATAGTACAGATTTGAAACATTGTACAGTGGGAGTATTTTAACAATTAATATCTTACCTGTTGTGGATAGCTCCTTAAACAACTTAAGTCCTGATCTGAGTCCCAAACTAAATGAGCATGACTAAGAACTGTCATCTTAAAACTGATTAACTGTAAAAACAAACATATAAATTCAAGCAATCTGTTTTATAATTAAACACGCTACTTTATTTAAAGCGAGGATTTGTGTAAAGACTAAGAAAAGGTTAAGAACAATTAATATCTTACCTGTTGCAGATGGCTCTTTGAATGGCCTCAGCTTGAAGAAAAAGTGTTTATTGTGATCAGACTCACAAGCTAACAGCTAGTTTTAACAAGCCAGTGAAGCCAAAGTGTAGCCAATTTCTGTCAAAATGACTGTAAAAGTAAAGACATCTTAAAAATTTCTTAAATAGCGTTCCGATCAATCCAATGAA